CCCCAAAACCCCAAAACCCCAAAACCCCAAAACCCCTTAAATTTATAAAATACTGAATCTTATAATATTAAAATGGGGAAAACAGATTTTATAACATCTCTCTTTTTGTGGCTTCCTTTATTCCTCGAGCTATGCAACCCTCAGACTATTGTGTCAAATTGGGATTTCACAGATATTACAGTTGCAGGAGCAAATGTATATACCGATCATAATCCAACAAATGATTATTCAACAATGAATATTGTAAGGGCGAATAACCCTAGAGTCTTTGGAAATTATAATTCCCAAGGCTCAATTTACGAAGAAGATAGAGCTAGGTAAATATTAAGAAGTGAGGTTATTAAAATTTAAGAATATGATTAAATCTCGTATCTTTTGGTAACTAAACTCACTACGCCCATAAAATCCTATCAAACCCAATTTACTACAGTTTCTTTTTCTATCATCTCTCTAACATACCATTTCCCATTTCCCCCTCCCTCGTATAACCTTGCCCACGAGTCCTTAACTACCACCAAGTATAGTGACTGTTCCACTAGAGGAAATGCATTGATCAACACAGGTATAATCTCCTTCACTGCGTACGTATACATCACCGATTTCACTCAGACCCAATACGTATACTGCAAGAACAGGTACACTGGAGGAGGAGCAGTCACTCAAGCTTGGTGAATGGGATTTACTAGTGCAACTTCTATTTTTGTAAGGATCGGAATATGAGGAGAAGCGGGTAGGGGATGAGGAAGGAATTTATTCTTGTGGTTAGAAGGGCATTAAAGAGTCCTGAAAAGTTAGATTTTATAATTTTATTTAGGTCGAAGCAAACAACAACATGATGGCATCAAACAGTATGGAAACCTTTACAACTCCATTTCAACTTACTTTGGGATGGAACTTAATCGGGTGTTACTATGATGGAAACAACTTTGATCCTTTAACTGCTGTTGGGACTAACTATTGCTTTAATGTAATGCATGATGGAACTACTTTTCAATCAGCTCCTATAATTCATGGGACAGGAAATTATACAGATGAAGATATTTTTATAACATGTGTCGGAGGTGATAAATTCAACGGAGGAAACTCTAGGTCATCATTGGTGGGAATGACAAATCAGGTTCAAGCTTACTCTGATCCAATCACATTAGGACAGATGCAAACTATGGTGAGCTATAATTGTGATGCACCTTGCCCTATGTGCTTAGCCAAAATGGCTCCAACTTGTCAGGAGTATGTGAAGGAAGCCTATGTTGGTAAATGGGATTTTAAAAGTGACATATATCAAAATCTTATAACAGACGAAGGAAATAATGGGCTCAACATTCAACTGAATGATGACCAAGATATTGATCCTGTATATGTTGATAACCAAGGACTCTATTTTAATGGTAGAAATCACATTAGAACATCAGGGACTTGGCTTCAAAATAATGTTGAAAGCTTTACTTATGAAGCATGGATAAGGCCTTCAAACCCTGCTTTAAATGGGCAGCAATTATTTTCTATAGATAATGATACAAATGCTCCAGAATTTTCTATAAAGCTAAATTCAGGCAATATCGAAGTAGATATGGAAGGAACAACTCGAACTTTTCCTATTACTACTCCGGTGGCAGATGAATGGACTTATGCAGCTGTCAGTGTCATGAAAACAGCTAATAATTTAGTGAATGTATGAGTCTTTATTGGAACTGGACCTGAAAGTTGTAACACCATTGCTGCAGAACTAGACTTTGTAGCTGCAGGTGGAACTTTCCAAATGGGAAGTAATTATTTAGGAATGATGAGAGAAGCCGGCGTTCTAGATTGGCCTAAAAGAGATTATGAATTCAGCAGTATGGTTCAGACAAGCGGATGAATTCCTTGGAATAATGTTCCGTGAAGCATGTGCCCAGCCACTACAGGAGAATGAATCTCAATCTGAGATAAGAACCAATATGGACCTAGCTGTGATACTTGTCTTAATCCTAACTGAGCTAGTTGATATAGCGACACTTATAATAAATGTTTTGAGTGCTATTCTGGGTATGATTTCACTTATTCAGGCCAAAGTTGTGCTGGAGTGTGCGGAAATGGAATCAAAGAAGACTATCTTGGAGAACAATGAGATGATGGAAATGATAGCGAAAATGATGGCTGCAGTTCAGCTTGATTGATTGAACCAGGATTCACATGCAGTGAGAAAACACCAAACAGTCCTTCTGTTTGTACAAGAAAATGCTCATATGAATTTGGCTTCTACTTTGGATTCCTTGAATGAAATGATGGAAATGATGATCCTCTTGATGGTTGTTATAACTGTAAAATAGAAAGAGGTTGGAAATGTGAAGATGGTAGTCCTTGGAATCCAGATATATGCACTGAGCTATGTGGAGACGGCATCAACTATGGAGAACATGAATGAGATGATGATAATCACAATAATGGAGATGGCTGAGATGCTAATTGTAATATTGAGCTTACAGATCCTCCTCAATGGATTTGTTCTAGTGGAAATGAAATGGCTCCTGATTTCTGCCATGAATGGTGAGGAAATGGAATTAGAGAGGAAGATCCTTACCTATGGAACCCTAGAAGAAACCTCTTCCGTCTTCAAGAAGTTACATGTGATGAAGGAAATCTTAGAAGTGGAGAAGGTTGAGATGGAATCTGAAGGATCGAAAATGGGTTTGTTTGTGGAGGAGTAGCTCCAGATGTTTGCACAGAAGAATGTGGTGACAGAAGAGCATTTTACTATGATCAATGTGATGATGGAAATTTAGACAATGGAGATGGATGTAGAGCTGATTGACTCATGGAAGCTGGTTATGAATGACTTGGAGGGGGCCCAACTCTTGTAACTGATTGTACTGAGATATGTGGAGATAACATCAACAACGGTTGGCATACTTGAGATGATGGAAATATTATATCAGGTGATGGATGCAGCGACACTTGACAAACAGAAGCTGGTTATAGATGAGAAGGAGGAGATAATGATGAAGGAGATAAATGCACAGAAAAATGAGGGGATGGAAAGAATGCAGGGCTCTTACCTTGAGACGACTATAATGTATTAGATGGGGATGGATGCAATAGTACTTGATATGTAGAGACTGGATACACGTGTACAGGAGGAAGTGCAACAACTAGAGATTATTGTGTTGAAACTTGTGGAGATGGCGTCGATATGAATACATATGAATGAGATGATGGCAATAATGATAACGGAGATGGATGAAGCTCCACTTGAACAATTGAGCCAGGTTGGGGATGAATTAAAGGAAGCCCAACATATTGATATAAAGCTGCTCGGCCTGCTATCGTAGGAGCTGGTTTAAGTTCAGATAGTAGTTCGCTTATTATTTCATTCAATACAACAGTAAAATTTACATCTGCATGGAAAAGTAGTGATTGGAAAGTTGAATTATTTGTTCCATTTCAAGAAACAGTTCCTGATTTTTACTACACTATTACTCCTCCAAACAATGAAGCTGGTGTTAATATAGCTCTTTCATATGATCACCAGTTATTTGGTTATAACATGGAATACATTGTACTAACTTTCTATAACAGACATACAACAGTTGAAACTATTTACAATACAGAAATGATTAATGAGCAATATACTTATTACCTCGAGGGTAAAGAAGTATCTAAAAATGCAGAAATAGTCGGAACATTAGGAACACTCACCTTTCTTCTGTTCTTAATCTGCATTATTATTGGAATAGTAGGCTGAATTCTTGGATATGATGTAAAAATTCTCCTTGATTGATTCTATACCCTTCAACTAATCTATTTCTTCCCACTAGGAAGATTCTATTTCCCAACAGGGTTGTATAAATTCTTCAAAGCTTTTGAAAAATTGAATTTCCAAGGAATAAACCTTGGAGTTTGGGACTTTACCAAAGCATCAGAAGCTAATTTGTTAACAGTTCATGGAGATATTGTGAACTACAATTTTAAAAAGATGGGATTTACCACATCATCCTTTATCTTCACTTCGATTGATGTAGTTCTAGTTATTCTCTATCTCTTGTTCATGACTGTATTTTTCAGAATTTTAGCACAAATGTTTAGGAAGACAAAGATCATAAGATTTATCGAAATTACAATGGTCACTGGGATCCTTCAGTTTATCCTCAACTCGACATGCTTAATCCTCTGAATGACAGCATTCTTGAATATAAATGAATGGAATGTTATGACAGAAGCTGAAGTATTTGGTTCAGTCGCATCCTATATGTACCTTGCATTAATAGTCTTTGCTTTAATTATGATGATCGTCTTTACCGCACTTTATTGGGCAGACTTGCGAAAAGTTGAGAACCCAGAAGGGGGAGATACTGGAAAGAAAATGCAAGTAAATAGTCTTGGGAGAAAATACTTATTCATGCCTTTCAAAGACCGAAACCTCATGCACTACTCTTATCCTGTAATTTTCTTAGCTAGAAGAATTCTGGTTGCTGCTCTGTTTGGATTTGTGAAAAATGATGGATTTCTTCAACTCCTCGGACTATCACTTTTATCTGGAATGATGCTGGTCTATCACACTTCCTATCAGCCATTTGTTTCTTCATTCAGAAACATAATTCTAACAGTGCTAGAGTTAGCCTACCTTCTGATTTGCTTAACAATTTTCCCTTACGTTTATCCAAACATTAAACCTGATCTTTTCTTAAGCCAGGCTGACATAGTTGTTGGGTTATTCCTTCCTCTTTTCTGGCTGGCCCTCTTCATCCCAGTAGGGATTTTACTCTGTAAAATCTGTGGCAAAAGGCCAAAGAATCATCCAATCTTCCAAAAAGATCTCCCTGTCGACAACACTGAAGGAGAAGATCTCAGAGATGCATGGATCACTGGCCAGCAAAAAGAACTTGAAGAGGAAGAAGAGAAAGCGGCAGAAAAAGTAGAAGAACCCGGAGCAGTGCCAGAAAACCCAGAAAAGGCTAAAGGTAAAGATCGCTTTTCTCGTCTTTGATACATATTGAAAGCGGCTCATGAGACTCAAGTTTTTCTTATCAAAGATTATGGTGTCGTCTCGAACTAGAATTTAGTCTTTGCTAATGTACAAGCCATAGTGATAGCAGATTACTTCAAGGGTTTAATAAATACTCAGATCACTTAGAAGATTTTAGTAGCTTACAGGAAAATAGAAACAACTTTATGCTTTAGAGTAGAGAGCTGATCTTAAAAGCTTACCAATTTTGAAAGTATTGAGAGTCTCCCAAATTTTTAATACAGTTTCTTTTAATAACTTGTTGAGAGGTTAAGCTGATCCAGAAGAATTAAATACCCATCAGATTTATAAAGTCTCAGAATTTCTTTGATCAAGTAGATCTAACTTATAAAGTTTGGATGAAGCAATTTTAGAAAGATAATAGTAATAATTGTAAATTCGGATAAATTTTATCTTGATTGACTTCTTAAATTGATAGAAAGACTCTGTTGTAGATCATACGAACACAGTCTGGTCCAATATGGAGTTATTTCAATCTCTGGCCAATCTTTTAAAACATAATTTATAGATGAAGAGACCAGTGAGAGCGTTGAAAGTGAAGAAAGTGAGTTACAGACAGAGACTATCACTATTACAGAATCATCTAGTTCTGGTGAAAACGAAGGTGATGCTGATGCATTTGCAGCACAAAGAAGAATTCCATCAGCGGATGTGAACCTTGATACCCAAGCTGGCTTTAGTACTGGAATGACCGGAACTCTTGAAGCTGAAATCCAGAAGTATAGAATGCAGGAGAAGAAGCTGAATTAGACATCTAAACTCTGTGAAAATGGTTTGAGAATATTATTATGCTCAATATTTTAGCAAATTAGTGGGGTTTTGGGGTTTTGGGGTTTTGGGGTTTTGGGGTTTTGGGG